TTGTGTTTGTTAAACACCAACAGAGCCCAACCTATGGTTTGTTTGGTTTGGTTTAGTTTAGTTTGTTTTACGGCATATCAATCTCAATGGGTTATTTGATGCCGAGAAGATTTTTAGGATAGGTTCGTAGGAATAGAATATGTATTAATTGAAGGAAATCAGTTTGTAGATCAGGTTTCATTGGCGTATTTTTGTAAAGAGGGTTTTTGCCGAAAGATAAATGTATTGCTGATAATACTTTTTTTTGAAAAATTTATCGCTGGTATTTTTACTATAAAAATCTATTTTTATATTTTCATAATGTTTTGAACCCAGTTTGGGTTTAACTATAAGCCCATAGCTGAGACCCTAACAGGCGCTACCACCTCGCCCAGGGTTTTATACTATATCTATGCTAAGTGGACATTAATTACAGTTTCTGCATGATCAACAGTTTGAAGAAGGCCTGTGCAGTCAACCCCTCGGTCATGGTGACCTGTAACTTCGCGCTAGCACAAGCATTGACGGTCTTCGAACGGTTCTGTCGACCCAATTTCATTAAAAAAAACTTGGCCCAAGCCGTAGTATGGGTTTCAGTCACTTTCCAAAGTATCAAATACATACAAATATACATATGTAAAGCGAAATATGATCTAAAAGTAACGATTCCTATTTATTTGTACGGAAACTAAGACAATATTATGATAACGCCTGTAGAGATATCAAGTTTTTGAGTACAAAATAAATAAATAAATAATAAATAAATAAATAAATAAATGAATGGAAAAATAAAATCAAAATAAATAAATAATTAAATAAAAAGATTTTTCACTTTTGCAAAGTGGCATTTTAAATATTCCGAATGTGGAATCAATAAATATTAAACACTACAAATACCTTGGTGTAGGCATCCGTTATAAGAAATTTAGTATAGACGATAAGGAACACAGAAATGCCTGTTCTACGGGTAATTTTGTCCAACAACATAAGATGCTACAAATCCGAAACATTAACCTGAAAACTCGACGTGTGTTTTTAAATAATCTCGTCGGGTCGAGACTTTAACATGGATGCCATGAATGGCGCCAAACCTGTTCAGAAATATCAAAAACTGTCAGCTGTATACAACTGCTTTCTCAGATCAATCGTTAAAATGGCTCTGAACGAGTGAAGCCTGTAGGTTTTCTTTGAATTTTGTGAACTGGCTCTGTAGAACCACAAACAAAGAACTGTATCAAATAGTTTAAACCACATCACTTGAGGACTTCCAACAGCAGCAACAACTAAAATTGATATTACACGTAACTCGAATGGCATAATAAAAATATCGATATTCCACATGACATCAAATAAAAAGGTAAGAAGGAAACCTCCATCAGTACTGGTAAGAGCTATAACAGCTACTGGACTTGAGAATACCTATTTTTATAAAAAAGTATTTCAATAGAAAGATTTTATAACTTTCAACCGACCGTAGTACTATCGCCTCAGCCAAATATTTCCTGATAACGGGATAGGGTAATGTTAGTTTTATTATTACCAATCGCGTTGTCAGGAAAATGCCTTTGTATTCCATCTTTCATCAGCCTGAATCTGGTTTATTATAAAAATCGCTGTCGCTTCTCAAATGCTTTCATTTATATTTACTTACTCACAAATACCTTTGGAAAGCTATGAATCCACCTCTTCTCCTTCCCGATACTATTAGTTAAACTGGTATCACTAAATCATTATCATCTTTAAAAAAAAATCTTACAATCTAAATATATTTTCTGGCTTTAAATAAGCTGAAGAGGATTAATAAGTCGTAGAAAACGAATCAATTAATCAATGTTGATTGCTTTATTTATTTATTTTTCGGTGTTAATATTTTATTGGTAGATTTTATCCTATTTATTACTATAGCATTTTTTATCGCTACACTCTTGGTCGGGGAACTATTCGACTGCTCAAGATGACAGTACAAAATAAATCCATAATACGCATAATTTCTAGCTGGATTCGAGCCGTCAAAGGCACACTTCTGGAGATTATCTTGCTTAGATAGACGTCACCTTTAATAATGGCGTCACATATTCTAATCATTCTTCTATTTACACTTTAACTCATTCTCTTATCTTTGTTTTAACTACCTTGTAATAAAAGAGTGATTTTTAAGTCCGGGTAGATAACATAGTTGTTTTTGCTTTTAGTTATTTAGCTTTATGGTATATAGATGGCGTTTTGAAGAAAGAAAATTACTTAAAAGAAATATAACAATTTAATATAATTCGCAATTATTATTTCTTTTATTATAAAAATTATGATTATTATATTTATTTTAAGTCATATATGTATTGTTTATCATTATTTCTTTCAAATTTTTTCACAGTTGACGTGTTTTACTGCACTAGTAAGGATCTTCAGGTTACTTGTACATAATCGTTTGTCTTATATTTGCTTTCTATTTTAGCTTACTTAAAGTTATAATTATCAGCTTTTCAAGTTTTACTCTTGTTCATTTTTTATCATTTGATAGTTTACATGTTAGTACTTGACAGTAATAACATCTAAACTATAAAAAAAGGTAGTATAAATTATTTATTGCTTATTTATTAATAAATATTATAAATAAGGACTTTCATAATCTTCAGAGTCTTTTAGGCTAAACTTCCGACTTATATTTTCATTTTTTCTATCTGCTGTCTTTTCCCTAAATTAACAATCTTTTTTTATGCTTGTGTTTGTTTATTTATGTACAACTATTTCGTAATTTCTCTTGATTTCTGGTGTTTTTGTTTAACTAAATTTTTATATATTTTATTAGGTTGGTGCAAAAATAATGACGTAATAATGTCGTTTTTTGACGTATTTTTTAACGTCAAAAAACGACATTATTACGTCATTATTTTTGCACTAACCTAATAAAAACGTTAATTTTTGGGTTAGCTTCTAAAAACACAATGTATATCATGTTTATGTACATACATTATATATGTTCTAAAGGTTGCCATAGTCTTTAACATGCTTCCGTGGTATGCGTCTCAAATAGCCTCTGACAACTAAGTCCAGCTCCAAGTGGGAGAATGGGCAAAGGTGGATACCTAGTGCCTCATAACCAGCTGCTTTGGGTAGATGCAACACGACAGCCCAAAAAGCAGTCCATCTAGTGGGAGTAAAACTCATATTCAGCCGAACATGTAAAAGGCTCTTTACATTAATTACATTGCCCTCATTTCTACTGTCATATTTACGACGTTTCGGCCGTTGTATTCTACGGCCTTCTCCAGGTGATAGACGTTGGACGTTGAATAATGTAATAGTGTAAATAGTTACAATACCTCATTTCAGAAATAAAGGTAGACGGAAAAGGTCATGGAAGTAAATCCAGATAGAAAACTCGGCGTGGACTTTGTTCCATTGGAAAATATAATTTTCCATAAGCATTTTACTCATTTGACAAGTTGCGACACAAAGAACTACTCGAAATACTAGAAAAGCTTTATATACATGGGAAAAATAATTTAGTAACCGATCATCTTTGTTGGTAATAAACGGATCAAGAACGGGTGTATGTCCCATCTCTGTTTTCATTCCAATTTTAAATCATGGTTTCTGCTTTGAAAAGTGTTGTCTTAAGTCCCATTTCTTGATTGGAATTTCCTTTCTATAGATCGAAGATACTGGACACAACTAAATTTCAGCATTTTAAATACTAATACTTCAGTGCAGACACAGAAAACTGACGCTGCACAATCCTCCCTCGCCTATCTTCATTTTGCCTATTCGTACCGTATGCCATACGGATAAATTAAAAGGCTGAACCTAACATATACAAAAAACATATGCAAATCCATCTTTATACAGCTGCGATTAATGCACCCGCAGAAAAAAATCTCATCAGCATATAAGTAAACGCATATAAAGTCACGGACGTTTAAAAACATATTCGCTTAAAAGAAAGAAAGGAAAAAAAATCCTCCTAACGCATGCGCATAGTTCGTCAAACTTTACGAGTAGAGATATGCAGGGAAGCATGCAATTACCTCCCTTTAAGACAGACTGTCACTAAGTGCGAATATTTTTATAACGTCGAAAGGGTCAGGTCGCTCTCACTGATATATTCCTCGCGCGCTTTGTACTAACCGGTCCACCAGGAATACATATGCATTTTATGATTTTATGTTGTAAGATTATATCATTTTATCTACCATGAAGGAAACAACATGTAACAGCAAATACTACTACTATAATTTATATAAAAACATATCTAATAATAATAATAATAATAATAATAATAATAATAATAGCAAAACCAAGACGCTATGGCGGAGAGGGAGACGATAACGAAAGTACCCAAACGATTTTGCTATCGTTAAATGTAGAATAGTGTGAACACTAAATGAAATTGGGAGAACAATGAGTTGAGATATAATCCTGTGGGGGCAAAGGCATTGGGATAGTTTAATCTTTGATAAAGAAGAGAAGCCCTACCAATATTTTATGTAGCTATACGAGAATATTTAAAAGCTACCGTAATTATTCGTATATAAAACGCACTCATGTATAATACGCAATTCTAGGTCACGCAATTCTCGGAAAAATATCTAAGTTATGAGCGCAAAATCTTTAGAATTTTAACAGCTAAATCTAACCTAAATTTGACTTTTATTTAAATGTCTATACGGTTCGTGTCGATTAAAATAAAAAAAAATTATATAGTTTATGTTATATTTTGAAACGCAAATAGTACAAAGTATTTAATACGTAACCGTAAGTTCTTTCCTAACAGATTATTTTCTCGCACTTCACATCTTGAACTCTCATCTGGTTTCTTGGTTTTCAACCATCTTCAAAAATTTAAATGCAATATCGATCGTTATCTACTGTCTTCTTGATTCCTCTTCTTTTATTCTTTGGGTACCTTAATAATATTTTTCTTTTTCTTATTCTTTTACACTCAGTAATCTATTGTATCTTAGTGGCTTTATTGCCTTACTAGGAATGAAGGGATTAAAAAAATAAACGTATGAACATGACATATGTATACTAGTCTGTTTCAATCTATCACAGTCTGTTTATATCTATGTTTAGGTCACTGCCTATTCCGATGCGTTCATACCTACCCATTTCTTCTCTCTTCTGTCTGTATGTCTCTCTCTGTCTCTCACTTTCTCTCTGTCTCTCTGTCTCTCTCTCTCTCTCTCTATATATATATATATAGAGAGAGAGAGAAGAAAATGGGTAGGTATGAATATATATATATATATATATATATATA